GGACCCAGGACCGGTGCCGGCCCTGACTCCGCCGCCCCTCTGCCTCCGCCAGGGCTGGACCACGAGCTGGCCTTCTCTCGGCTGATCGTGGAGCTGCGGCGGCTGCACCCAGGCCACGTGCTGCCCGACGAGGAGCTGCAGTGGGTGTTCGTGAATGCGGGTGGCTGGATGGGCGCCATGTGCCTTCTGCACGCCTCGCTGTCCGAGTATGTGCTGCTCTTCGGCACCGCCCTAGGCTCCCGCGGCCACTCGGGTCAGTGCTAGCGGCGGGCCGGATTGGGAGGCTGGGGTTGTAGAGGGGCCCATGCCCTCCTGTCTGATGTTTGGCTGGGCCGTGCGATGGCGCGAATACCCTGATAGTGTCCATGCGATTGTCACTCAGGGCGCTACTGGGCTGAGATCTCGGATACCATCATCTCTGGCACCTTCCACCAGTGGAGAGAGGGCACCACCAAAAGTGAGGTCTTCTACCCAGGTGGGTAAGAAGGCTCTGTCAGAGAAGTGGGTGCCTTCACGCGGGAGGTGCCCACAATTGCGGGGAGCATGGCATGGAAAAGGAGTGTGTTGGGGGGCCCTCCTCATGGTTCCCTTCCTCCACCCTCCCATAAGCCACAGGTGATTGGTTGGGGCAGAGCTGAGGGACTCTTGCTTTCCTCTGTCAAGGGGAAACAAAACATAACAACTTCCTGTTAAACATGTCTGATTTTTATCTGCCCAGGCACAATTTTGCCCAGACAGTATTCCAACAACTGTTGGGGAGACAGTGGGTAATCAGAAATGCTCTCAATACTCCAAAAGACAATACAAACAGTTATCTTTTTTTTTTTAAATAGTGCAACAATTTGCTTAAGAAATAGAGCATTGGACTTCCCAGTACATTTGAGGTTGGGTGTATGCATCGCAGGCATGGTGGTTGAACAGGTACACTTTTCAGATAAAGCCTCAGAAGTCCTGGAACTACCCCTTTCCTAGCTACAAGCCCAGCCCAGGTTTAGCTAAATTTCTGCTTGTTTCAAGTGAGGCTTGGGAGTGCAGACTTCCATACAGTGGGCCCATGGCCAAGCGAGGTAGCCGTCTATGGCTTCCCCCAAGAGAGGACATGGGTCAGATGATGCCACAGAACATTTAGGAGTAGCCGTATGGGCCAGCCCAGTGAGGTAGGGCCTTTTGTTTTTCTGAAGCTCCCTCTCCATTCCCCACCCCTAGTTAGTCCATGGGCCACGAAAGCAGCAGCCATGGAAGGGCAAGGCAGAGCTGGCTCTTCACTTGGGTGCTCCCTGTCCCCCAGGGGAGACGGTAGTTCATGGGCCTGGTGAGGCAACAGCTGTGGAGTGGGGGCCAAACACATGGATGGTGGAGTACGGCCGGGGTGTCATCCCATCCACCCTGGCCTTCGCGCTGGCCGACACTGTCTTCAGCACCCAGGACTTCCTCACCCTCTTCTATACTCTTCGCTCCTATGCTCGGGGCCTCCGGCTTGAGCTCACCACCTACCTCTTCGGCCAGGATCCTTGACCAGCCAGGCCTGAAGGAAGACCTGTGGATGGACAGGAGCGGGCAGGCCCGCACATATCCACTTGCTGGAGCCCATGTTTACAGACAGGGACATACACCATGCAGATCCTGAGTTCCTGCTGTATGAGCAGGGATATCCATGCTTATGTATCCAAACACAGAGAACCATGGGAACTAATGAGACACATATAGATACTGAGACCTGTGTGTACAGTAGGACCATGCATTCATACCCATCTGGATAGGGAGCCCCTGGTATACCAAGGGAGCCAGTTGTGTTCAAACACACACATCACAAGCTTGACTCACTAACTCAGGCCTTTCCAGAGCTCCACAGCTTCCCACCCCCTCCCCACCAAACGGGTTCTGGAGTTAAGGATGGGGGAGGGTATTATACTGCCTCAGTCTGACTCCTCAACCCAGCAGCAATTTGAGGGGATGAGGGGGAAGAGGAGCTGCCTTTTGGAGGCCCCCTTCACATGCAGCTATGATGCCCTTCCCCTTCTCCCCTGTCCTCACCATATGCCTTATCCCCATTCTACTCCCCTGCTATGCAAGTGCCCCTGTGGCTTGTCCCCAACCCCCTCGGCAACCAAGCTCAGCTGGGGAACCAGAGTAATGTGAAGAATGCTTGAAGTCAGCATCTTCCATTCCAGAAAGGCCCCCATTCTTCCTTTGGGGATATGATGCAGAAGCTGGTTTCAGACCAGGACCCGCCACTGAGGAGGGGATCTAGGCAGGTGGGCCTGATTCCAAGGGGGCCTTCCTGGCCTGGAGAAGGCCTTTTACACACACAACACACACACACACATCACAGTTTTCAGACAGCCCCTGCTGCATTCTCTGTCCATCTTTCTGTTTCTGTTAATAAAGATTTGTTGATCAGTTCCATCTTTTTGTGTGTCTGAGCAGCCGGAAAAAGCCTCTGACTCCTGGGGACCTCAGGAAGATCTCTCTCTTGCTGTGTGATTCATGGTTTTTTTTGTTTTGTTTTGTTTTGTTTTTAAGAGACGGGGTCTCCTCTGTTGCCCAGGCTGGAGAGTGGCACAGCGACATGATCATAGCTCCCTGCAGCCTTGAACTTGTGGTCCCAAACAATCTTCCTGCCTTAGCCTTATGAGTAGCTGGGACTATAGGCAAATGCCACCATGCCTGGTTAGCTTTTTAAATTTTTTTTAGAGACGGGGTCTTGCTATGTTGCCCCAGCTGATCTCCAGCTCCTGGCCTCAAGTGATCTTCCCTTAGTGTCCAGAGTAACTGGGATAACAGAAACAAGCCACTGTGCCTCACAAGACAGTGGCTTTTGACTAGTAGGGACTATATACTTGAGTGTGCCTTAGAATCACCTAAGACACTCTTTGAGTCAGTAGCTCAGACTATTGAGCTCCATTGCCAGAGATCAGCCTGTTCAATGATTCTCTCCAACACAGCTGTGAATGCCACAATTTGAGAAATTCAGGGCAGGGTGGCCTGGAGTGTGTCTTGGCCTTACCTCTGCCGGTGGGATCCTGGGAACAGTCCTAAGAATCTTCCCCTGGATGGCCACAGGGTGGCAGTGTGCATCCACTTTTTAGCTGAAAGGCATAGTTGTTCTCAGTTGGATTTTTTTCGAGGCTCCCAGCGTGGTGTCTGCCCCTACCCAGAACAGGAGTTCCTCCAGTCTATGGTCTACCTTCTTCAGGACCCACCACTAATGTGGAGGCTCCCACAGTGAAAGGCAGGCACACTACCTGGCAGTATGTGAGGTAGGTAGGGCCAGGATTCAGGTAAGGCAAGAGAGGTGCCTAAAGTGCATTCATTCCCAGAGACCCTGCTCTTGCCTTAACTTCTGCATCCTACACACCAAGTATGCCTCACCCTCATCCTGGCCCTGTTCTGAGGGTAAGGCATAGATCACTCCTGCTTCTCAGGATTCCTGGTATTTTAAAAATGGAAGAAACATGGTTATAAAAATTAGATATTTTAAGATTTTAATGAACACAAATCTGAAAGACTATATGTATAACTGCATTTAGAAACAACAACTGAATGTGGAGTCCAGGTAAGTTGGCCATCCTGACCCGGACTCTTCACCCCCATTACCACCGTGTCAGGCATAGTAGGCTCTGGCTGGCTCCTATCCATTGACCCCAGGTTGCAAAGCCATGCCTCCTTGGGGGATTCCTACTCTGTAACCCAGCTCTGCCTCTAGGCTCAGAGTCCACATGTCAGGGATGACCCAGCTTGCCCTGTCATTCCTCCCAAACGTCCACAAAGGGCTAGGCTCCCAGGCCCCTCCTAATCTCTGCTGCTAAATCTGTTGGTCATTTCATAATTCTCAGCTTTCATTTGACACAGGTAATCACTCTGAAGGCACTCTTAGCTTCTGGGACACTACTCTTCCTTTTCTGGATTTTTTTTTTTTTTTTTTTTTTTAGTAGAGACAGAGTTTCACCACATTGGCCAGGCTGGTCTCAAACTCCTGACTTCAAGTGATCTGCCCGCTTGGCCTTACAAAGTGCTGGGATTACAGGTGTGAGCCACTGCACCTAGCTACTGGATTCCTATCTCCTCATTCTCTGACTTTCTTGGGCTTAGTCCTCAAACCTCTTCTCTGTTTACACCCCTTCCCAGGTGATTCTGTGACTTTACCATCTATATATCTTGACTTCTAAATTTCTGTCTCAGCCTAAATCTCTTCCCTGAGCACCGGAGTTGGAAATCTTACTGCCTTCATCTCTACTCAACATCTCCACTTGACTGTCTAATAGGTATCTCAGATTTGAGATATCCAAAGCAAACCAAATTCCCAACCCCACACCACCACCATCTTGTAGTCTTTACTCTCTGAATTAAGGGCACCTACATTTACCCAGCTGCCCAGAGTCATTTTGGACACGTCTGTTTCACGTCCCAGATGCGATCCATCATCAAATACTGTTTTTGTCTGCAGAATATATCCAGACTCTAACCGTGTCTTCTCACCTCCACTGCCCCCACCCTGGTCTAAGACACCATCATCTGTTGCCTATAGACTATTGCAATGGTCCCTTAACTGATCACACATGCATCCTGTGTGGAGGGTTCTCCTTGCAGCAGCCAGTCAGACTTTCACTCTCTGCCGAGACATATCCAATGGCTTTCCATCTCATTCTGTCCTTTCACTCCTTACAAGGGCCTACTCCAAGGCCCATGTTTCCTCTGATCAGACATTCCAACCGCTCACCCCTTCAGTCCCCCTATTCCGACCCAGTGGCCTCCTTGCTTTTCTTCCAACACATCAAGCAAAATTCTGTCCCAGGATATTTGCACCTGCTATTCTGACCGCAGTGCTCGTCCCAAGGTATCCACATAGCCATAGCTGTCTTCCTCCCCTCCTTCAATTCCTGCTCACTGAGTTCTTCAACACTTATATAATATTATCTCTTGCATGGTGATTTTAAATACCTTCACAAAATTTTTGATGCTCTGTCCTTCAAGAGGTGAAGCCTAAATTCCTTCCCCTTGAGTGGGCTAGACTCAGTTATGTACTTTCACAAATAATGTGGCAGACATAACAGTGTGTGACTTCTAGGACTAGGCCATAAAAAGCATTGCTGCCTAAAGAGTCTCTCTTGGATCATTCTGGGGGAAACCAACTGCCATGTTGAGAGGACATACAACCAATCCTATGGAGAGGCCCACATTGCAGGGAAACAGGCCCCCTGCCAAGGGCCATGCAAGTGAGCCATCTTGGAAGTAGATCCTCCAGTCCCAGTCAAACCTTCAGATGACTGCAGCCCTGGCCAACCTTTTTACTACAGCACCTTAGAGGATAATGAGTCAGAACCATCCAGACCCACAGAATTGTGAGAAAATAAATGTTTTTTGTTTTAAGCTGCTAAATTATGGGGAGATTTGTCACACAGCAATAGGTAACTAATGCCCCCCTTCTGTTCCCCCCAACGCAGCTACATTTTTCTGCATGGTGCTTATCACTATCTGACACACTGTATATTTCCCCCACTTAGTATTGTACCATTATAATAAGGACTTTGTTTTATTTGCTCCTGTGTCCAACAGTGCCTGGCAAAAAAATAAAAATAATAATAAATATGTGTTGGATGAATGAAGCATGGGTCTCTGAAGGTCTAGGTCTGTCTCTGTCTCTGTGAGGTATAGGACCAGACTGTGGGTGTGAGAGGCAGCCTTTCCTTTTCACAGACGAAGAGAGATAAACCAAGTCCCAGTCAAGCATATTCCTTCCCCTCAGCCCTTCCCAGTTGTAGTCCTCCTGGCCCAGACCCCAAAAGTGGATTAACTTCGCTTGATTGATTTGGGAGCTGTGGGAGTGACTGCCCAGTCCCTTGCCCGTCAACCCAAACCCTACAAAGCACTCTCCAAACACTCAGAACTGGAATTTCCCCAAGCCAATTCCTGCCTTTCCAGGAAGACTCTGACCACCTACCTTTGTCCATGCACCTTCTCTGAACAGCCAGGGGAAGCTGTGGTGGGGGAAAGGGAGCAAGCAGGGCACAAGGGTTCTGTGGATCGCTACCCTCTGCTCTCCAGTCTTCCAGTAGACTACCGGGGCATGTCTGTCTGCCTGGCACATTCACTGATTCTCCCCTCCCAGCATCAGGGAGGGTTGGGCAGAGGAGGAGGCTTGGCTCTGCCCCAGGATACTCACACCAAACAAAGCCATGGGGGAGGAGGCATCAGTACCGACAGGAGCTTCTGGAGGCTGGGGGGTTCTGATGGGCTCAGAGGTCTGAAATCTGAGGTGGAGGACACTAGGGCAGCCAAAGGTATGAATGGGGCTGAGCCTCAGCATGGCCAGGAATGGGTCATAGGGTACCAGGACTTAGTGCTGCAGTAGGAGCTGCGCATAGAAGGGTGCAGAGAAGGGTGGTGGCTGGAGGCAGGGAGAGCAGGGAGGAGGCACCCACCATGGGATCCTGGTCAGAAGAGCTGGTGGTTTGAGCCAGAGCAAGCTGAGGCTGAGAGAAGTGGACTGATTGGGGGAGGACAAGGGAGGAGGGAGGACACAAAGTTCGCGTCAGGATTCCTGCCTTCTGGGTGTGAGGTCAGAAGACAGTCCCTGGTGCCACAGTTTCATACCTATGCAGGTGTCACCCCTACAGACACCTGCTGTTCACTTACACACTTGGCATCACCTCACCTCGCTTTGGTAGGTGGTCCCCTTGGGCACAGGAAGAAATAGGAAGTATGAGGATGCCTGGGAGGAGTGGGGTTCAGGCTGTTCAGAGCAGAAATTCTGAGAAGCCTGCCACTCAGAACCCCCAAATAAGGAACGGCATTTCAGCATCTTGGGAATAGTTTGGGGGAGGGCGTAAAGCAGTGGGCTGAGGGGGTCTGGAGATACACATGTGGGAGTCAGGCACACATGGGTGGAGAATGTGTGTGAACATGGGCGAAGTGCTGTTCACTGTTGAAACAAACCTATGATGAGTACCAGAGGTTCATTACACTATTCACTTGTCTGTGTTTCAAAATTTTCATAATACAGGCTGAGCACGGTAGCTCACGCCTGTATTCCCAGCACTTTGGGTGCCTGAGGTGGGTGGATCACTTGAGGTCAGGAGTTCAAGACCAGCCTAGCCAAAATGGTGAAACCCCATCTCTACTAAAAAGAGAAAAATTAGCCGGGCCTGGTGTTGGGTGCCTGTAATCCCAGCTAATCCCAGCTATTCAGGAGGCCAAGGCAGGAGAATCACTTGAACCTGGGAGGCAGAGGCTGCAGTGAGCCCAGATTGCGCCACTGCACTCCAGCCTGGGTGACAGAGTAACACTCTGTCTCAAAAAAAAAGAAAAAGAAAAGAAAAGAAAATGTCCCTAATAGAATGTCAAAAGAGACAAAACCTGTGTGTGGCTGTGTATCTGCATGCGTTGAGTGTGCAGTCAGCTTAAAGACCTCTGAGTGTGTGTGAGTGCATCCTTGTGGGTCCACCATCGTGTGCATGCATGTGTGCAAACCGCAGCATGCCTGCAGTTGGGGACAGCGCGTGGGCAGGGCAGGGGTGGTCAAGGCAAGGGGAGAAGCTTCTATTCTGACCAGACCCTCCACGCACACCCAAGCATCTTACAGAGGGATTCCCCTCCTGATCGCAGCCTGCCCAGGCCATTGGCACTGTGGTGACCATGTCACCGAACATGTGAGACTGGGCAGCTGTGCGCCTGAACTTGTGACAAGATGCGTTGGTGTGTGGACGCGGCTGTTTGTGTGTGGAAGCCCAGTGCTGAGTGTGGGTGTCGGGGCACGACTTGTGAGGCTGGGCGGGGCTCTGGTCCAGAGTCCGGTGGCGGTGGAGCCCTCACTTTCGCACGATTCCCCTGCAGCTCTCCAGCGCCCCCTGCCCCCGAAGCTGGCTGGAAGGAAGGTGGGAGACACCTGTTGGGTGGCTGAGAGCGGCAGAGCCCACAGGGGCCTCTCCCCATGCGCCCCGCCCGCCCTGTCCGGCTCGGGTCCCGCCCCCGCGGCCGCCGCAAGCAACGCGGCGAGTGAGCGCACAGCGGCCAGAGGAGCGCAGGGCGGCGGGAGCGCACCGCGGGGACCCAGTCGAGGCCAGGGCCGCCAGGGAGGCGGGCAGAGCAAAGGCAGCGCCGTGGAGACGCCGGGGGCAGCGGGCCACGCCAGGCAGGTGAGTGCGGCCGCGGGGCCCCCGGAGCGAGGGAGCGGGGCGTCGCGACTCCGCCGCCTCCTGCCCATCCGGTCCCGTGCCCGTCCCAGGCTCTGCCCCACCGCCCTCCATCCCGGCGACTCCTTGGTCCCTGTCCTCTGCCCCTCTCTCCGGCTGTTTTCCCCGTCCTGTCTCAGTCGGTCCCTCTCTATTTCACTATCTCTTTCTAATTTCTCTTTTCTGTCTGCTTCCTGCTGTCTTGGTCTTTTCCTGTCTCTCAACACCTGCCTCACTATTTGTCTATCTCCGCCTCTGTCTCTCCGTTTCTGTCCGTCTCTGAGTTACCTGTCACTTAGGTCTTTTATCTCTTGCTCCTCTACCTCTCTTACCCTCCCTGTCTCTCTACCCAATATTCTATCTCTCTCCATCTCTGTCTCTCTACCCTGTCTCTGCCTGATATTTCTGCCTCTCTGCATCTTGGTCCCTCTCAGTCTCTGTGTCACCTCACTTCTTTCTCTCCTGTCACCCTGTTCCATCTCTATTTTCACATCTTCCTATCATTGCCTCTGTCGGACATCCCCCCTTCTCCTTTTCTTTCTCTCTCCCTCCCTTCACCATTTCCCGATGTCTCTTGGTCCCTGTCACCCTCTCTGATCTGCTCACTCTTCCAGTCCTCAGTCAATGGCCATTTCTGATTCCCGGGGTCTGGTCCTGTTTCTGTTCACCTCTGGGAAAGCCATCTTTCTGCCTCTTTCCTTGTGACTCCTGCACTTCCCTGAATCCATGACCACCTCCCCCTGTGTTGGGGGCTATGGGGGCAGCAGGGCCCAGCACCCATAATTTCCTCCCCCACAGGCGGCCCTTTCCTCGGGGTCCCGCCTGGTACCAGGGCCCCCTTCAGCTGGGGGACTGCGCCTGGAAGCTGTCATGGAGGCCCTGCAGAAGCAGCAGGCAGCTCGGCTGGCCCAGGGGGTGGGGCCATTGGCCCCTTCACGCTCGCTGCTGCCACCCGGGCCTCCCCTGCCTGACCACCGGACCCTACAGGCCCCTGAGGGGGCCTTGGGGGAGGTTGGGACTGAGGAAGAGGAAGATGCTGAAGATGAGGAGGAGGGGGAGGAAGCCAGGGCAGAGGAGGAGGCAGCTGAGGAGAACCATCCAGGGGCCCAGGGCCCCAGCTCACCTTCTAGCCAGCCCCCTGGACTCCATCCCCACGAGTGGACCTACGAGGAACAATTCAAGCAGGTAGGACCTACGCCCTCGATGTCCGGCCCTCTCCCCTATCTCCCTCTTCTGGCGAAAGCAGAGCCAGGTGATAGCAGTCTCTGCAAGACGAAAAGAGACACAGAGACACGGAGACCTAGAGAAAGACAGAGGGAAGATTGGAGGATAGTGACAGGGAGGGAAAGATAGATGCCTGGCTAATTTTTTTAAATTTCTTTTGTAAAGACAGGGTCTCCTTGTATTGCCCAGGCTGGTCTTGAACTCTTGAGCTCAAGTGATCCTCCCACCTCGGCTTCCCAAAGTGCTGAGATTACAGGCATGAGCCACCATGCCCAGCCAGGTGTAGGGAAGGCAGTCTGGGGGCTGGGGATTCCTACCTACCACCCTACCTACCTTCTCACACATCAAGTCACAAGGTCATATTCCGGGGACCAGTGGGGGTGTCCCAGTTGCTTCCTCTGTCTTCGGAAGCAGAATGGAGGTTATCACTCCCTTGGCAGGTTGATACACCTCTCCTTTCTTTCCTGTCACATCCCCCTAACCCCAGCCCCATGCAAATCTTCTCCCTGGCCTGAGTTCCATGGATGATAGTTCCTAGCCTGTGATAGCCACTACAGCCGCAGTATGACTATAGGGCTCCTCTGCAACTCAGAATGACAAGACTTCATTCACAGGGCCTTAATCTGAGGTTCTTTCTCCCTGGAGAACCCCTCTGGGTGTTATTCTAAGGACACTACTCAAGGCTGTCACTACGAAGGTGTTACACAGGGCTGTGACTCCAGGTGTGCCATTCTGGTGGTGTTAACTTGTAGGATGTTGGTCTGGGTATATTCGAAAAGTGTTAATCTGTGAGTAGTATTCTGGCATTGGTGTAAAACTGAGTGTTACTCAGGGCTCTGTTCTGGATATATGGCTCTAGAGACTGTTTCTCCTAGGTATAATTCTAAGGGTTATTACTTGGAGAGTGTATGTATTATTTGTGGGTATCCATCTAAGACTTAGGGCTCAGTTTTTGTGGGAATGTGGCTCTAAAGGTGGATCTGGGGCTTATTACTCATGGGTATTTTGTTTTTTATTCTGGGGATTCTTATGGGGATGATATGACAGAATATTATCTATAGGTGTTACTCAAGGACTGTTACTCTGGGTCAGTGACTCTAGGGGTGGTTCCCTTGGCTGGTATTCGGGAGTTGATACAGGAGGTGGGACTCCAGATTACCAGGAAGAGTTGAGCTGGTCTGTGGATCCTTCAAACTCTGACCCCACAGGGCCACTGCCTCTCTAGCAGCTTCCGTAGTAGGTAGGGTAACTGCCTCTGAAAGGAAATCAGACCAGAAGATGAGCTGAAGGGCACTGGGTGTCAACCTAGGAGCTTCTGAGCATCACCCTGCCTGAGGGGTGGGTTAGAAGCGTCTCTGCCATTCACTCACCCCCAGCCCTGGCATACAGGGATGTGAACAGCATGAAGTCCTTGCATGAATGAATCAGAGCATCAGATATATGTTTGTCTCCTCAGTCTGGAATACAACCCCAGCCTAGCTTCCTTCCTGGGACTCTAAATTTCCCATGAGGGTAGGGGAAGACTGGGCCCCAGAGGGCAGGCTGAGCCTCCAAGCTCCATCCTGTTCCTCTCTTCCCTTACTCCCTAGATGGGTGGTTTGAATGGCCAAGGGCACCACTACCAGTACCAGTCTCTGTATGTACTAGAAAAGGCACCCCTGCCTGCCCCTAGGCGGAGAGAGCCTAATGCTAATGCCAGGGAGTCCACATTGAGATCCTACTGACTCCTTCAGCTAGGGACCCTTGTTCAGGGTACAACCTGAATTGGGGTCTAGGGAGGGAGGGGGGTCAGCAGAGCTGTAGAATGACCCCAATCCTTCCCCAGCTGTATGAGCTCGATGCAGACCCCAAGAGGAAGGAATTTCTGGATGACCTGTTTAGCTTCATGCAAAAGAGGGGTGAGTGGCATGACGTGGGGGAAGGGCCCTGGAATTGCCCCCTTACCACGTTTCAGGAAACCCGGTTGGGTTCTCCCTGCAGAGGCCTGAGCTTGGCAGCACCTGTCCTTTGGGCCCTCAATAGCGTCTTTAACCTCTGACCCTGCCCCCCTCCTCCACCCCAGGATTAATTAGCGGCCAGCCCACTGGCAGGTTAATGAGTGTGGAATCAATTGGGAGGGTGGGAGGGGGAACTGATGGGAGGCTGGCCTGGGGTGGGAGGGTCCCAGAATCAGAGGGCTGAAAATGCCTTGGTTCTCTGTCAAGGGTCCTTCCTTCAGTCATGTCTTCCCTGTTTTCCCTTGATTAAGGCAGGTTGCACCTCATGTGCTCTACAGCAGGAAGGACTGGGATTAGACTGGAGGAAGGACTTCCCAAGGGGCGGGCTGGGGACTATGTGAGTTGAGGCTGTGCACTATGTGAGTTGAGGCTGTGCAGGAGGAGAAATTCCTTTCCAGGAATGTCAGAGCTGGAGGAGAACGCAAGAAGGGTCTAGGAGGGCATCAGTTTGGGTGGCAGTCCATCACTTCAGCTTCTCCCCAGATTCATGGGACGGAACACTGACTCATTATCTCTCTCTACAAAGCTAATTAACTCACTCAGAGCGCAACCTGATAAGCCGCTAATTAACTGGCTGCACTGTCCGCCCCCCCCCCCCTTTTAGTGCAGCTGCTGGCCCACTTCCCGCCCCCGGCCCTCGCCCTAGCCCCAGCACCCCTTTCGGGTCCCTTGCTTCCCTGGGACCCTCAGTAGGGCCCTAAGTCCTTTTGGTTCCCAGGGAGGCCCATTCTGGTTCCAGTGTCCCCTCTCTGGCCCTTCCTCGAGGCCTCCCCTCCACTGGGGTAGCGGGTGTGAACCGATCTCAGCATTGCCTGCCCGCCCCTCCCCACTAGCTCTGCCTCCCTTCGGTCCCTGCCTCCCACCGCTCCAGTTGCAGGGGGAGGGGGTCCCGCGGGGCCGATAATTTTCCCCCATTAATCAGGCCGCAGCTAATTGTTCGGGTCCAAAGGCGCGGCGGAAGGGGACGGGATCGGTAAGGAATTAACTGGGGCCCATCGCTCAGCGCAGACAGGCCCCTTTGTCAGGACTGGCCGGCGGGGGCGGCGCGGGCTGCGGAGTCGGCGGGCCGAGGCGGGAGCTGATTCTTCTCCCGCCCGTCATCCCCCAGCCTTGGGCAGCCACCCGGGGGCTGCTGCTTAGGGGAGGCCGGCTCTTCAGCACTGTCCGGAAGTCCTTCCTGCGGTCTACCCCAGGGGACAGCAAACTAAAGTTTGCAGGCCAAACCCAGCTGCCTGCAAGATAAGAATGGTTTTTACTTATTTAAATAGTTGGGGGACAAAATTAAAAGATGAATAACATCTCCAGACTGGTGAAATTCGAATTTCAGAGTCTATATTATTGGAACACAGCCGCATCCATTCCTTTAGGTATTCTCTATGGCCGCCTTTAGGCTACAATGACAGCGTTGAGTAGTTGTGACAGAGATCATTTAGCCATCTGGCCTTTTACAGAACTTTGCCCACCCCTGTGCTAGCCTCCTGTCCTTCCTGCTAAAATAGAGGCCCTGGGGTTCCGTGGGCTCTGACCAAGTCTCCCTCTTTCCCGCCCTCCCCGGGGCTCCCGCCCCGTATTAGTCCCCGGGGATGCTGTAGACAGGGTCTTAGTCTCAGTGTCCTGACTGCAGCCCGCTCCCCACCAGGGACGCCAGTGAACCGCGTGCCCATCATGGCGAAGCAGGTGCTGGACCTGTACGCTCTGTTTCGTCTGGTGACCGCCAAGGGCGGCCTGGTGGAAGTCATCAACCGCAAAGTGTGGCGGGAAGTCACGCGCGGCCTCAGCCTACCCACCACCATCACCTCGGCCGCCTTCACTCTACGCACCCAGTGAGGCCAGGGGCGCTAGCGGAAGGGAAGGGGGCACGGGGTCGGGCTGGGG